CAGAAGCTCTCAAGCCTTCTTGTGACCTCAGAGGCACCTGCACACACACAGATACACACATACACACACACACACACACACACACACACACACACACACACTCAATTAAAAATAAAAAGAGAAACCTCAAAACACATTTTAACCATCCCAAATAAATCTTTCCTGACAAATGGATCCCCCTGCCTTCACTCAAAAGACCTTATTAGTCTTTATCTCTGCCAGTTCATCTCACATGTACACATACATGGTATGCATATGTGGTATGTGCATGTAAATACAAGTGTGCATGCAGATATATGTACATGAGATACATGTGGTATATGTACATGAGGAAGTGTAGACAGGTACAAAGGCCAGAGGAGGAGCCAGGGTCCTGATTTATCACTCCCTCCTTTATTCTCCTGTGAACAGCTTGCTTGCTGAACTTGAGCTAGGCTTGTTACCAACAAGCCCCAGGATTCCTCTTATGAGCCCACCAGTCTCAGAGCTGGAGTTAAAGGCATGGCCACAACTGGGCTTTTACATGTGTGGATACTGAATTTAGGTTCTCATTCTTGCCCAGAAAAAGCTTTTACCAGCCCCAATAACTGATTCTAATATGTTGGTATAATGTTCTTTTGAAATGTATGCACCTTACCCTTGTTCATTCAAATGCTGATTCCCCCCTAACCCCACTCTCTGGTTTCAATCCGGATATTGCATTGTGGTACTTACTCTGAGCATCCTGTCTCAACTGTGTGTAAACAGGCCAAAATAAAACAATTAGCCACAATGTTGTGCAAAGGAAGGAGCCAGAAGACAGGAAAGAGGGGAGCAGCCAGAGGGCAGGAAATGAGTGGGAGGAGAAGGGGTGAGAGAGAGAGATCTTGGAATGATGTGGAGAGATGGACTGGACCTAATATATCACTAAAAGCAAGTATAATGGGTGAAATCTAAATGTTAGGAAACTATGAGGGCTTGGAGGTTTAGGAGGGAGTAACTATTGCCCAACATTGTGTTCTAGATTAATTAAATAAACCCATTCTCTGTGTGGTGATTTGGTTAAACAGCTGTTTAGGACTAATAGCAGCTTTACTAAAAGATAATCATTAGTAAATATTTTCACCTACAACACTAATATAAAAACAGTCTTTGGGCATGATAGCTTATACTTACATTTCTAGCTATTGGAAGGATGAAGCACAATGATTTGTTATGTGATTGAAGCCACCCTTTCCTATTGTCCTGGCTAGTTTTATGTCAACTTGACACAAGCTAGAGTTATCTGAAAGAAGAGCAACTGAGAAAATGCCTCAATAAGATCCAGCTATAAGGCATTTTCTTAATTAGCGATTGATGGCTTAATTAGTGATTGATGGAGGAGGGCCCGGCTCATTGTGGGTGGTGCCATCCCTGATCTGGTGGTCCTGGGTTCTATAATAAAGCAGGCTGAGCAAGCCATAAGGAATAAGCCAATAAGCAGCACCCCTCTGTGGCCTCTGCATCAGCTCTGGTTTTCAGGTTCCTTCCCTGTTTGAGTTCCTGTCCTTTCTTCAATGATGGACTACAATGTGGAAACATAAGCCAAATAAACTCTTTCCTCCCCAACTTGCTCTTGGTTATAGTGTTTTATCATAATAATCGTTACCCTGACTAGAACAGCTATGTAGTGAATTCTTGGTCAGGTTTGGCCACAAAGTAAGCCTGGATATTTCTGGCTTATTTTTTAAAGTAAGGTTTTTTTTTTTTTTTTTTTAGTTTCATGTAAGATGCTACATCTATTAGTAGTCTCTTATTTTTTTTTTTATTTTCCTTTTTAAAAAGAATTATGACACTAACACTTGGATCTTAAATTGCCCCCAAAGGCCTATGTGTTGATTGTTACCAAATCTTTAGGAGGTGGGAACCAGTGTAAAGGGAGGAAAGTCAATGGGAACACCCCCTTAAACTTTAAGGCCTTAAGGAATACTGAGAACCTGACTGCTCCTCTCTCTGCTTTTTGTGCTAAGAAACCTCCTTCATTACATACTCTGCCCATGATATTCTGACTCTTCACAGGCTCAAAGGCAATAGCATCAAATGATCTTGGACTGCATCCTCTGAAACTGAGCCAAAATAAATCTTTCCATTCTTAGGGTATCTTTCATTTTGCTATAGTAATGGAAAGTTGACACATCCATTACCCCAATCATATCACAGCTTTTGCATTCTCTTGTGGATGGAAAATTGATTGTTTACAACTGTGATGTTATAAATAAAATTTCTACAACATTAATTTCTCTTGGATATACAGCAAATAATGAAATGGCTCAACAAATTGCAAGATATATATTTGCTGACAGCCTTACTAAACTTAATAACTTCTTTCCTTTCTTCACATATATTTCTCAAGCATAACTAGATTGTTCCTGAAATGCAACATATTGATAGGAAGGAATGGGCAAAACAGCTCAGTCCCTAGTCAAGAAAGGCATGTGCCGCATCATCTTCAGGCAGCATTCCTGAGCCTTGACCAGGGTAGCCTTCACCTACCCTGCAATAAATCCTAGACTCCTGTTGCACCTTGTGACCTAAGTAATGAACCTGTTCCTGGTAAAATATGTTGTAAGCCAGGTGTTTTGCCTCTCCAGACTTAAACTAATAACCAGTAGTACATAGTGATTCTGCTTTGATTTTATCAGTAAGCAATGCTTTAAAAACTTTAACCAGTTTTTACTTTTGTTTCATGGTATCTTGTGGTTTCAGGTCACATTCTTTGATAATGACTGTGGTAGTCTGAATAAGAATGCCTCATCCCCATACAGCCATATATTTAAATACTTAGGGAGTGGAACTGTTTGAAATGATTAAAAGGTATAGCTGGCCCACACGGTTGTAGTAGCCACTCCTTCTGTCCGTGCCTCCTACCTTACAGACAGAAATGTTAGGATTACAGGTGTGCCACTGCAACCAGTTTTTATTTTAAAAATGTGTGTGTATGTGTGTGTGTGTGTGTGTGTTACATACACAAGTTCTTGCAGAGGCAAATTCTCAGATCCCCCAGAGCTAGAATCAAAAATGGTTGTCTCTACTCTTGAATACTACTGTGTGTTCTGGTAATTAAATTCAGGTCAGCAGGCTTGTGCAGCAAACACTTTTACCTACTGAGAAACTTCCCTCATCCATCAGTTTTTAATTTTGATTTAGTCCAGTTTATATTGTTGTGATTTTTTTGTACTGTTTTGGAAAAAAAAGTCATTTCTTGTCTATAAAGATTTTTATAAATTTTTATCTTAATAGTCACACTTCCATTAATTCTTGAGTATGTTTCAGCAAGAGTCAAAGTTTGTCTTCCCCATGTATTCACAATATGTTGTTTGTTGAAATATTATCCTTTCCCTCAACTAGCTATCTCAGTGAATATATATTTGTCTAAACTTAAAACTAATGTCATCCTGTGTTCATGACTGAAGTTCAATGAAAGTGTTGAAATCAGGCAGTATAAATCCTCCCACTGTTTTTTTTTTTTTTCAGAATTACCTAAGTCAGTCTTAATCCTTTTGTGTTGCTATTACATTTTAAAATCCATCTGTCTGTTCCCCTTTCTTCCTCTGACATACAACACAAAAGTTTTAGAGATTTCTGAGATTCACAGAATCTATGAATCAATTAAAAGTATTTTAATAATGATTCTAATCAATAAAGAGGTACTATACATTTTGATTCAACTTAGTCTGCATTTTTCATGTTTTTATTCTATAAGTAGTTTTAAACTTTGAACTGTTTATAATAGACAGAAATAGGCTATCTACTCATTGACCATGTGTTACTACAACTTACCTAAATTTATTTTCATTTCTAAAATTCTGTTGTAAATATTTCTCAATTTTCTATAAACCATGATAACCTTTTTTCATAATATTGTTTATGAATGTTTTGACTACACACACACACACACACACACACACACATATGTAAGCACCATATGTGTACCTGGTACCCTAGTACCAGGCCAGAAAAAGGTATTGGATCTTCTGGAATTGAAGTTATAGATGGCTTGAGCCACTATGTGGGTGCTGGGAGTTGAACCTGGGTCCCCTGCAAGTGTTCTTAACTATAAGCCACCCCTCCAGCCACTCATTTTATTATCATTTATTATATGTTACTGTAGTGCTGGAGTTGAACTCAGAGCTTCTGAAATGATACATAAGTACTCCACCACTGAGCCACATCCCTAGCTCTTTTTTAATTTTAAATGTATTAATACATTTGAAAATATTTTAACTCATTTTATAACACTTGTCTTTAATTCCTATTTCAGCTCCTCATTGAATTGACTAAAACTTTTCATGTTAAATGAGATATTAAGTGAGACTATAATGTGACCTTAGGAAGAGAACCCAAATTATATGTTCTATCTAACTGGAAATTAGGAATTTCATATGACTAAATAATTGGAAATATTTACTCATTTTAGTTTTGTGAACAAATCAGGCTGTTTGTCTCTCATAGCAAGTCTGATGGTATGTTATATATCATAGTCTAGCTATGATATATAACACTTCCTCTGTCTTCTGACTAAACTCTCCCTGGGTTGTCTCCATAATGTCACACATGCTGTGTAAATTCATAGGCAAGCAGTCAAAGTGCAAAGGATGAAAAGTACAGAGCTAGCTTTTATAGAAGCTTTTGTCTTTCAACATTTTTCTTTTCATTATGCTGATGGAAATGTGGGTCTTGCACATTATAGTATACACTCTACCACTGAAGTATACCCTCAGACTGAAGTAACTTGCTTGAAGACCAACCTGAGATCAAATGCAGCCTCATGTCACTTAATAGCATGGGCATTTCCTCATAGACATGTCCATATTTGATTTTTGTCTCAGTGCAAGTTCATAGTTATACACTTATGGAAACCTAGATATCACTTGATGTGACCTACTGATGCTATCACGAAATACCCTAAAAATGAGCTGCTTAAGACAAAGCACACTTTTTCACCTAAAAAAATTTTAATAAGAAGGAATATACTCCAAAAAGTACAGTGTACTAAATACACAAAAAAGTCAGTCATTTATCATCATTGTCAAGCATTTTGCTCTATATACAACCATACTGTTACACTTTTATACAACTGGCAGTACAGTATGTTTCTTTATAAAAACATCACAACAGATGTATAGCAAACTGTCCCATAATAGTATAATGGCTATCCTATCACTAGAAAATATCACATTTCAGCTCATTAAAACTTTATGGTAGCAGCACAAGCAGTCTGCTACTGATCAAAATGTTGTTTTGACTATTTACATCTCATTGACACAAACCATTCCATCATCCCATGGTCATTTTTATTTCCAAAAGACGCTGAAGAAATACTGGGTTGGTTGTGTGTGTGTGTGTGTATGTGTGTGTGTATAGAAATATAATTCCTAAGAGGACCCTCTAAAAATTCTTATGTTATTAAAGAAGAGGGGAAGGACTGGACAGATGGAAGAGCACTTGATGTTCTTGAAGAAGTCCCAAGTTCAGTTCTCAAAACTCACATCATCAGGTAGCTCAAAACTTCCTATATCTCCAGCTCTGGGAAATGTTACGTAAGCCTCTTCTGGCTTTCTGGTCTTCTGTATGCATGTAAAGAATAACACACACATACAAATAAATCTTTTTTTTTTTTTTAAGAGCAGAATACATGGGGAAACTAATGTTGAGAAAGCAGGAAAAAACTACATTCTGAGAGTCTAATGGTCTCTGCGCTAATGATGCTGAGGATTAAGTATAATGCAGAAGTTCACAGATCTACTAGAAGGAAAGCACTGAAGCACAACACAAAATTTGAGAATTCTAGACCACAAACTTTTAATTTGTATATACTAATTACACAGAATAGTGCATTTTACTTTGGCATATTCATACATGTATACATCTGTAAACATTTTTATTCCTCACTCTATCTCCCCCCACCCCAAAAACCTCCCTTTTCCTCAAATCTTCCACTTCTCTAATAGTCTCCTGATCTATACTCAGGTGTTTTATTTTCTTTAACTTTCATAAATTAAATAAAAAAAAAAAACATGTTTCAGAAACTGGCTTACTAGTACAATCTCTAGTCCCATCCATTTTCATTATAATGACATAAGTTTGTTCTTTTTTTTTTTTATTAATTACACTTTATTCATTTTGTATCCCCCCATAAGCCTCTCCCTCCTCCCCTCCTGATCCCACCCTCCCTCCCCTTTCTGCATGCATGCCACTCCCTAAGTCCACTGATAGGGGAGGTTCTCCTCTCCTTTCTGATCTTAGTCTATCAGTTCTCATCAAAAGTGGCTGCATTGTCCTCTACTATGGCCTGGAAACAACCTCGGAACCTGCTACAGAGGGCCTCTGAAAGCCAGAAGAAAACAGGAAACAACTTTGGAACCTGCCACAGAGGGCCTCTGAAAGCCTCTGCAGTATAGACTGTCAAAGCAGATGCTGAGCCTGATGGCCAACTGTTGGGCAGAGTGAATGGAATTTTATGTAAGAAGTGGGAAATAGTAAGAGGTGGAGGGGACGAGAACTCCACAAGGAGAGCACCAGAACAAGATAATTTGAACACAGGGAACTTCCCAGAGACTCATACTCCAACCAAGGACTATTCGTGGAGATAACCTAGAACCCCTCCCTGCACAGATGTAGCCCATGGCAGTTCAGTGTCCAAGTGGGTTACATAGTAATGGGAAGAGGGACTGCCTCTGACATAATCTGATTGGCCTGCTCATTGATCACCTCCCCCTGAGGGGGGAGCAGCCTTACCAGGCCACAGTAGAAGTTTGTTCTTCGAATGGCTCTATATACGGTGTGTTTTCTGTATCCACTTCTCAGTAGACAGACACCTAGCCTGACTGATGTCATCACTTGAATACTGTGATGAACACAGCTATGCAGGTGTCTCTGTATTATGCTGATTCAGATTCCCTTGGGGATATACTCAGAAGTGGTAGAGCTGGATGATATGGTAGATCTAATTTCAGTATATCTCCATACTGATTTCCACAGTTGACAATAATATAAATCCCCATGAAAAGCAGATACAAACTTTTCTCCTCTTTTCTCTTACCAACATTTGTTGCTTTTTTGAGGATAGCCATTTTTACTGGGTTAAAATGAAATCTCAATGAAGTTTTAACCTGCATTCTAATACCTAAAGACACTGAGGTGTTTGCTGTTTGTACAAGTTCTTTTGAGAACTATATAGATGATCTGCTCACTTATTGATTACATTTTCCCATCTTGCTTTGGTGTTAAGTTATTGTGAGTTCTTTGTATATGCTGGATATTAAGCTTCTGATGCAAAGATCTTTCTCCCCTACTACAGGCTGTATCTTCACTTCATTAATTATCACCTTTCCTGTGAGGCTTGGTTCTTTTTTTTTTTTTTTTTTTTTTTCTTCCAAGACAAGGTTTCTCTGTGTAGCCCTGGCTGTCCTGGACTAACTTTATAGACCAGGCTGGCCTTGAACTCAGAGATCTGCCTGCCTTTGCCTCCTTCAGTGCTGGGATTAGAGGTATGTGACACCACACCTGGCTCTTGTGCCACTTTTTAATCTGATGACATCCAATTTGTTGAGTCTTTTATTTTCAGAGGCAATGGAGTTAAATTACTGGAGTCACTGCCTGTACTGACATCTTCAAGTACTTTCCTTATGTTTTCTTCTACTGGCTTCAATGTTTCAGTTCTTACATTAAGTATTAGGGCTCGTGTATTCATAGGATGGGAAATGGGGATCTAGCTCTAGTCTTCCATGTGAATACACTATTTTCCCAGCATCACTTGTTGAGGAAACTTTTTCTCATGTTTTCTTTTTTTTTGTTTGTTTGTTTCCTTGTCAAAACTTAGGTATCTATGCCTGTGTGGGTTAATTTTTTGATCTTCTGTCCTAGTCCATTGGTCTACTGCTTGCTTTTGTACTGGTCTCATTTATTACTACAGCTCTGTAGTATAACTTGAAATAAGATATTGGGATACTTTTTTTTTGTACTCAGGACATCTTTACCTATTATAGGTCTTTTGTGCTTCCATACGTATTTCAGGATATTGTTCTAGCTATTTGAAGAATGTCATTCAAATTTTGAAGGTGATCATATAAACTTCTAGATAGTTCATTTTCATATGGCTATTTTCCCAGTACTAAATCTACTGACCCAAGAACATGGAATGTCTTATCATCTTCTATTGTCTTCTTCAATTTTTCTCCAATGTTCTATAACTTTCATTGTAAAAGCCTTTCATCACCTCAGCAAGATATGAAGACTAATCTTCAATGTCAGCTTAACTGCAGTTAGAATCACCTAGAAGCTGCACTCCAGGTGTTTCCAAAAAGATTTGAGAATGGAAAACATACTCAGAATGAGGTCTGCATCATTTCATGGGACAGGGTCCAGGGCTGAATGAAAATCAGAAAGTGAGCTCAACACCACCACTCATCTGTTTTTTGACTGTAGACACAATGTGACCAGCCACCTCAAATTCCTGTTGCCATGCTTTCCCCATTATGATGGACTCACACTGTGAACCAATATAAAAACCTTCATTTACCAAGTTGCTTTTGCCAATTATTTTTTAACTACAGTGAAAAAAGTAACTAACCCACAAGGCTTATTCCTAAATATTCTTTTTGATGTGAGTGAAACTGCTTTCCTGATTTCTCAACAGCTTGGTTATTGATGTGTAGAAAATCTATTATTTTTGTATGTATTCTGAATGTATTGTGTCACTTGGCTGAATTTGTTTATCAGATCTAAAAGTCTTCCGGTATAAATAAATCCAAGCAGCTAAAGCTATCTGCATTGCAACAAATGTGTTACTGGTCTTATTCTGGAACATGTTTGATGCGCCTATGAAAATCAAGTTCATTCTGCAGCTGTTGGTGGAATACTCTGCAGCTGTGTCTATTTGATCTGTGGTGCAGTTTCACTCTGCGGCTCCTCTTTTTGAAATTTTTGCCTGCATGACCCACTTATGTAAGAGAGAGGTACTGAATTACTATATTAGGGTCTACCTTCAATCAGAAATGTTTGACACTTCAAAAATCAAATGAAGGTTTCTGACACCTTGCTTAACAGCATTAAAAAATATTACTTATCAATAAGTAAAAGTAGCAACCTCATTTCCTTAATTCAAAACTATTTCATTTCTTCCTACACAGTAGAAGTTTCTAGTTAAATAACTCTTCTACATTGATGCCTTAGCAGATTAGATAGTCTCATCAACTAAAGTAGATCATTGTTTTATACTAACTTCAAGAACAGAGAGGATATTTAAATAAAAATTATTTCATGTTACACAGTGTTTCTATTTCTTTGTTCACCAAATATAATTTGCCAGAGATACTACATTTCGTTGACCTCTGTTAAAATGTGTTTTTGTTGAAATGCATTTAATGTATCTTATTAGATTACCTTAAAAGGTACAAAGGAGGAATGATTGACATGGTTGGTTATCTACAATACTCCTATATATCAGGTCTCGCTAGCAGCCACAGGTCTGATTCTGGCTGCTTCCATTCTTCTCCAAGAAGTGTGTTGAAACTGAAAGGCTTGAAATATTCTAGACGATGGCTAAAAGTATAAAAAGGAAGAAACTGAAATGAACTATGCATCCATGAAACAGTGATCCTATAGAGCTATCTGTTTTGTCACATTTGTGATAGTACAACATTCTATTTTAAGAAATAACAAATGTTAAATATATTCTCTATGTACATTTTTTTCATTGAACCTATCAAATATTCAGTTCTGAAAACATTTACCCATATTTCAATGTGGTCTTCTTCAGTTCTGCAAAGTTCCCTCACAGCTCAAGGGAAATATAAATATCAGCTCTCAAGGAGCTCAGTAAAGTGTCTGCTAAGGAAACAAAAGGAACAAAACTCAACCTTCACAACACACATACAAATGACAGGTTGTAGTGGTGTGCAATTTAATCTCAGTGCAGGAAAGGCAGAGCTAACTGGCCAGTCAGCCTACTCTTGTTTGTAAGCTCCAAGCCACTGAGAGACCCTGTTTCCAATGAGGTGGACAGTATTTCAGAAAATGACACATGAAGGTACTTTTGGACTCTACCTGCCTGTGTCACACATACACGTTTGAGATACACGCAAAAAAAATCAATCTAACTTGTTCTAGCTGTTAATCAATCATAAGCTCTTGCATATACTCTTATATTCAAACTTTGACAAGTTCTGTTTCAAATTAAAGGGCAACTTGTGTTATTTCTTTGCCAAAGTAAAGGAGATTAACACAGAATGGTGATCTTGTTTTCCTTCCATAAAAAACACTACTATTGTAAAGTGTTCTCTTGTAATTTAGTAAGCAAAAAAAAAAAAAAAAAAAAAAAAAAGGTTTCATTTCATCTGTGATTCAGTAAAGCTCTGAGCGATAAGAAATTTCTCTGCCATGCTTCTACCTTGGCCAATGTGTATTCACACTTCCCTGGAAAGACACTAGCAAGTGAGAAGCCAGAATGGTACATCATATGGTATGATGACTCTCAGTCAGTAGCGCCTAGATTTCTATTCCTTTCTGCCCACCTGTCCAGGATTAATCAATCAGTTTAGAGTTATATAAACAAATCCCAGAGTAAGATGCATGGAAAAAGAGAAGAAACTAGACAGAAAGAGTCAGGACTGGGAAGAAAAACAAATGTAGATGTTTAAGTGTGTCGAGGAGAATACAAGTATCTGCTAGAAGAGATGAAGGGGAAAGTGAGTCAAGTAAAAGCATGGAAAGTTAATCATGGAGAAGAGAGATAGTGTCATTTCCTAAGGGTGAAAATGTGGGACTGTCTAGCTACCATTGTGTTGCCCACTAGGATTTCTCTACTAGGATCTGCTAAACATCCAGATTCAAGTGCTGACCATTCAGATTCACCACACTGAGTCTACTCAGAGACAGATAGCAGGAACCAAAGTTTGTCCCAGGAGAGGACTGTGCTTTCCTTCTTAAGGGACTAGCCCTTGCAGTAATGCATGAAGCATTCAGAAGGCTCACCAAGAGCTATCTATATTTTTCCTAGATGACAGCTTAGGATGCCAGGAGATAGAGCTCAAATGGGACAAATGTTTGGCTTAAATGTCTGCTGCCTCACAGAAGCCATGACCTCTGACAACTACTTATAGGGCATAAACTCAAGAGTCCCACAGGTAACACAACTGTTAAAGAGAAATCCCTAAATTATACTCTCTCCATCATATATTTATAGTTCATTCAGAATTATTTAATCCAGATGTCATTTACCAATTAAGTCATTTTATCACAAGCAAGGTTGCATAGAAACATAGTTGATACTCTTATTTTAATGAAGCAAGAAGAGAACAGAGATGTAACTAAGTATACGTTCTTTAGCTACAAAGAAAAGGGATTATAAACCCTCTATCCACACCACAGAACACAGATTCTTCTGGCTATTTTATCTAGGAAAAGGGTAATAAATTAATTTGAAGCCACATCCATATCAGCTGATGTAGCACTTACAAATTAACATTCTCATATAACTATGAAAGATTAAGTGTTTTGCTAACAGTTATGAGATGGTCTATCCTGGTCAAAAGTTGGGGGTCACTGAGGAAATATAGGGGCCTTATTATGTGCTTACATGTATGTTATCAACTACCAAGTGTTACCACTTCTCTGCCAAGAACTAATTTCCCAAAACTCTGTAGTTAGAACATAACTCCACTTATTTTCTACTTACAAATCAGGTTTTTGTCCTTGCTGCAGTTCATGCTGTGGCACAGGATAAAGGGATTCATACTCTCTTCTATCATTTGATCCATGAATTGCAAAGGAGTTAAATTGTGTCACATTTGGTGGGAAGTAACTCCAAGGAAGATAAGCTGTGCCTTCCCAGTTAGTCTCTCCTCTGGCCACTTTGAATGATAACGCAAGCTCTTTCTATTAGAAATACAAAAGAAAGTTCAAACTTATATTGTAGATACACATGTTGCTTATTAAAAGATTTCCATATGTTTGTTTATTTTACTCACTTTCCAAACATTTCTTCTTCCAGAGAGTAAAAGAACTAAATGCTGTCCATGGCTGTCAAAATTAAGATTCCTTATGAGTATTAGCAGAAAACAAATTATCTTCTTTCCTTTCTTTTCTATCTGGAATGTGTGTGCTTGTAGCTAAATTTTCAAATAACTAAAAAGTGCAATACAATATTGGATAACCATAGGGAAAGCTAGTAAGTCACATTACTTAGAAACAGCAACATTGAATTACCATTTCCTAAACAACTGCTACCAAATCACAACGTTTCACAGGCTAACACTACTTTTCACATTCTTTACCCACTAGCAATCTCACTGGCCCCTGCTTTTCATACTCTTTAGATAGGAAATTATGTAAAATACTTCATTTGGTTAGAAAACACAACATATGAAAGAAAGAACAGAATGATAATCATGATGCTTAGACTCTAAAGTAAAACCAGCTGCAAAACTAAAGCACCCCAAGGAGAGCTAGAGCTGATTTTCAAGTCTTAATTTAACAGCTTAACTAAAGGTTTTTTCTGTAAGAAAATTTCCTTGAGGCTCATCAGCCAGGTAGAAAATGTAAACTATGGATTGACCAAAGCCGGTCAACAAGGCGCAGACTTTAACCTGTAGCCATTAATTCACCCTGCTGGCCTTGAACAGTCTGCCATCTGTTTTCCACCTTTCTACCATTTGTTCAGCACCAACGTCACAGCTCCACAGACAAGCAATATATTCTCAGAAGGAAATTCTAACGGGAATGATTAAGGGGGATAATCTGAGTAAGTAGCACAGAACTGGTGAATTTACATGAAGTAAATTTTCTTCCTCTATCAAACATTTCTTCCCAGATGGTCTTTTGTGAGTTTTTTTTGAGAGAGGATTTTCTCCAATAAAATACTCTAACAGAAGACAAGTAATCCTTTCCATTTAACAGCCCTCTGATTAATTTACTTTTTATGGAGCTTTAGTAAGATTGTAGGATGAATAAAACTTCTTGCAAATTAAAACAATGTTCTTTCCTAGCTTCTTTCCTAGCTGTTAATTAACCATTACAGGAACTCACTGCCAGAGGCAAAACAATTCATGATTATTAACTATCCTGATGTATATGAAATCAAACTACCCTGTGGATTCTAATTTTAAAGTTTATATCCAATAGCTACAATGTAGTTCATGAAAATAAACTGATACTACTTCATAAAAGAAAACTATAGAGGTCTGTGAAATAGTTCCACAGGTAAAGGAGCTTGCTGCCAAGCCTGATGTCCTAACTTCAATTTCTTTTTTTTTTTTTTATTTTACAAAGCAAAGTTAAATTGACAAGGTGAGGGAAGTTGCCATTGTGCTATTGGTGATCTTTCTTTTTCTTCTTCTTTTTTATTTAATTATTTTTATTAATTACAGTTTATTCACTTTGTATCTCCCATGTACCACCCTCACTCCTCCCCTCCCAATCCCACCCTCCCTTCGCCACCCGTTCCCCTCTCCCAGTCCACTGAAAAGGGAGGTCCTCCTCCCCTTCCCTCTGACCCTAGTCTATCAGGTCTCATCAGGAGTGGCTGTACTGTCTTCTTCTGTGGCCTGGTAAGGCTGTTCTCCCCTCAGGAGGAGGTGATCAAAGAGCTAGACATTGAGTTCATGTCAGAGACCGTCCTTGTTCCCATTACTATGAAACAACACCCTTCACAATAGCCACAAAAGACATAAAGGACTTTTGTGTGACCCTAATCAAGCAAGTCAAAGACTTGTGTGAAAAAATTTCAAGTCTCTGAAGAAAGAATTAGAAGATATCAGAAGATGAAAAGATCTCCCATGCTCATGGCTTGGCAGGATTAACATAGTAAAAATGGCCATCTTACCAAAAGCAATCTACAGATTCAATGCAATTCCCATCAAATTACCAACACAATTCTTTACAGACCTGGAAAGAAAAAATTCTCAACTTCATATGGAATAACAAGAAACCCAGAATTGCTAAAACAATCCTCTACAATAAAAGATCTTCTGGAGGTATCTCCATCCCTGATCTTAAGCTGTACTATAGAGCAACAGTAATAAAAACTGCATGGTACCGGCATAGAAACAGAATGGTGGATCAATGGAACCGAACAGAAGACCCAGAAATAAGTTCAATTTCTTGAACCCACATGGTAGAAAGAGAAAATCTACTCCTCCAATTGTCCTCTGACCTCCACATGGTTTTGACTTCTTTGTCAAAAACCAGGTGTCTGTAGGTGTGTGAGTTTATTTCTTTAACTCATTGGCACAGAAGACAATTTCCTGAACAGAATACCAGCAGCTCAGGCTCTAAGATCAACAATTAATAAATGGAACCTCATCAAACTGAAAAGCTTCTATAAAGCAAAGGACAGTATCAACAGAAAAAAACGACAGACTATAGACTGGGAAAAGATCTTGACCAACCCTACATCTGACAGAAGAATAATATCCAGAAAATATAGAGAACTCAAGAAATCAAACACCAACAAACTAAATAATCTAATTAAAAAATGGGGTAAGGAGCTAAACAGAGAATTCTCAACAGAAGAATTTTGAATGGCAGAGAAACACTTAAAGAAATGATCAATATCCTTAGTCATCAGGGAAATGTAGATCAAAACAACCCTGAGATTCCATCTTACACCTATCAGAAGAGCTAAGATCAAAAACTGAAGTGACCACACATGCTGGAGATGATGTGGAAAGGGGAACCCTCCTCCATTGCTGGTGGGAGTTCAAACTTGTACAACCAGTTTGGAAATCAATCTGGAGCTTTCACAGAAAATTGGGTATACTACCTTAAGATCCAGCTATATCACTCCTGGGCATATATCTGAAAGATGCTCCACCATTCAATAAAGACATTTGGTCAACTATGTTCATAGCAGCTTTATTCGTAATAACCAGAATCTGGAAACAACCTAGATGTCCCTCAACTGAAGTATGGATACAGAAATTGTGGCACATTTACACAATGGAATACTACTCAGCTATTAAAAACAAGGAAATCATGAAATTCTCAGGCAAATGGATGGAACTAAAAAAAGATCATCCTGAGTGTGGTAATCCAGAACCAGAAAGACACACATGATATATACTCATTTTTTGTTTGTTTGTTTGTTTGTTTGTTTTGTTTTCGAGACAGTGTTTCTCTGTATAGCCCTGGCTATCCTGGAACTTGGCTCTGTAGACCTGGCTGGCCTTGAACTCATAGAGATTCACCAGCCTCTGCCTCCAAAGTGCTGAGATTAAAGGCATGTACCACTACACCCATATAAATTCACTTATAATCGGATATAAGCTGTATAATATAGGATAACCATACTATAATCTACAGACCTAAAGAAGCTAAACAACAAGGAGGATCCTAGAAAAGAGGCTTAATTCTCATTCAGAATGGCAAACAGGATAGACACTGGAAGCAGTGGAAGAGAGGGAACAGAATGGGAGCCTACAACAGATATCCTCTAAAAGGCTCCACCCAACAGAGGATCAAAGCAGAAGCAGAGACTCACAAACTTTGGGCAGAGCACAGGGAGTCTTATGAAAGAAGGGAGGGACAGAAGGACCAGGAAGGGACAGGAGCTCCACAAAGAGACCAACAAAGGAAAAAAATCTGGGCCTGGGGGTGCTGCAGAGACTGATGCACATAACCAAGGACCATGCATGGAGAGGGTACACCCCCTGGTCACATGTAGCCCAGAGGCAGCTGAGTCTCCAGGTGTGTGAATAAGAGAAACAGGGCTTATCTCTGTCAGGAATTCAGTTCCGTGCTGTTTGATCACTTCCCCCTGAAGCTGTGGCCTTGCCAGGCCCCAGAGGAAGAGGATCCAGGCAGTCCCGATGAGACTTGATAGGCTAGGGTCAGATGGCAAGGGAGGATTCCCCTTTTCAGTGGACTAGGGGAGTGGGGAGGGAGAGAGGATGGAACCAGGAAGAGATGAGGGAGAGGGCTACAATATAAAGGAAATAAATTGTAAAAAGTAAAAATTTAAAGATTTTTAAAAATTAAAAACAAACAAACCAGAATTAACGCACACAGACACATACACAAAGAAAAAGCACAATAAACATACATACACACAAGCAAAAGCACATTCACACACACATATATACTCACACAAACACACTCAGAGACACACATTCAAAGAAAAAGAGAAAAAAAAATTAGAAACCATAACATACAAACAAAAGACCAGTAATATTTTTAAGAAGCTCAAAAGAGCAATAAATTAATAAAGACATAATACATACATAATTTTAAAAGCTACCAAAATACCATTGAATTTGCTTTGTGTCAGTCATCTACTGCTGGGCATGAGGCCTGCCCTTAAGTGTGGTTTGCAAACCCAATGGTATTCTATTGAAGAAAACTAATTTCTCCTTTGCAAGTGATTATGAATTGAAAATACCATCTGAGTTAAGGAGAGGAGCTCTCTTTACTTCTAAATAGTTAACATAATAGTGCAAACATATAAGGTAATTATTTGTTTATAGTGATTTTTTCACTTTTCATTTATGTCAAAAATAAATCAAAAATCATATCAACATAATATACTCAAACATGTAGAATATATATTCAAAAAATAAATTTAAAATGTATGCATTATACAAGACAATAAACAGAGACTATTTTAAATCTGCTTCCAGTTAATATGACCTCTATTTAGCTGAGCTGAGTGAGTTTTACTACAAATATATAATTTATAACTTGAAACAACTATCTTCAAATCATGTAGTAATGGTTAAAAAAAGTTTATACTTACGGACAAAGTTCAACTTCTAAATACTGCTCAGTTTTATCATTCAAGAAAAATGCTTCTACAACTTATGAAAACAAATAGGACATGGAAAATTTTATTTAGATTAAGCAGTAAATAATTTATTCCTTTAGAATAAAAAGTGAATTACTAAGCTTCTTAAATCATCATACTATATCCCAGTAAGAAACTGAGCAAAATAAATACACAGAATCTAGAAGAAAAGCATAAGAAAAAAGTTATTCTCAATTTCTCCCATAGAAGTCTGCCATAAATTAAAAGGAAATATAAAGCCTAGTGATGGTGAGGCCATAGGGAAATCAACAGATAGACTCTGGGCCACTTATCTTCTTCTTGGAATTTATCCCAAGTAAACAAATTAGACAACTAGAAAAAAAAAGTAAAATTCTATCCATCAGAGTATGACTCAAAAATACTATAAATAATAATGTAAACATCTATCTCTTCTTATATAAAATTATCTCTTGGTACATAAAGAAATCACCTATTCAGCAAAATATACTAAGTTACAGAATGCCTGCATTTCATGCAATAGAACACAATGGTGCTGTTAAAATCAAAGACAATAAAATATGTATTGGCATGACAAGACTGCCATGATATTTATGGGTTGTTTAGAGAATGGTAACTAAATATATGAGCCATGAACCAAATGTACATGAGATTTAAATATGTGTATGTATGTGTATGTGTGTGCTACTGGCTACCGCTCTAAAGAGTGCAGGTAATCATATGAAAAAAGTGGAAAATAGTAAGACCTAGAGAGGACAGGAGCTCTACAAGATGAACAACAGAACCAAAAAATCTGGGCCCAGGGGTCTTTTCTGAGACTGATACGCCAACCAAGGACCATGCATGGAGATAACCTAGAACCCCTGCACAGTTGTAGTCCATGGCAGTTCAGTGTCCAAGTGGGTTACATAGTAAGGCGAACAGGGCTGTCTCTGACATAAACTGATTGGCCTGCTCTTTGATTACCTCCCCCTGAGAGGGAAGCAGCCTTACCAGGCCACAGAGGAAGACAGTGCAGCCACTCCTGATGAGATCTGATAGACTAGGATCAGATGGAAGGGGAGGAGGACCTCTGCTATCAGTGGACTTGGGGAGGGGCATGCATGGAGAAGGGGAAAGGAGGGTGGGATTGGGAGGGGAAGAGGGAGGGAGCTACGGTGGGATACAAAGTGAATAATGTATAATTAATAAAAATTAAAATAAAAAATATTAAAAAAAAAGAATGGGCACAAAATATATGAAGAGTGGTGGGGCTAGTGTGGTCAGAAGTGCTTGCTGCCAAAGCTGATTACCTGTGTTAGAGCCCCAGAATCTATACAGTGGGAAGAAAGAACCAACTCCCACAAGCTGTCCCCTCACCTCCACAAGCATGAAAATGTTTTTCAAACTAATTTTTAAAAATTAATTTAAAAAAATACTGGTTATCTGTAATTGGTGGTCTTTTTTATTATAATTTCAGAAATTTTCTGAGCATTAGTGGCTTTAAAAATTATTTAATTGTGAATGTAGTGCCTCTTTCTTATAAATTATTATAACACTTTATATATTTATAAAACATACAAAGTAAAAACCTAAGTCCTTTTCTTCTTTTGTCTAAAACTTGCCAGACCTTTTCTAGGCTTCTAAAAATGATTTTAACTATTAAGATTTTTTAAAAATAAATATGAAATCATACTTGAGTATAATTTGCTCTTTTGCATTAAAAACTTTTAGCTGAAGAGTAAATTAAATTTTAATTTAGAGAGGTAGATGGTTCGGCTTCACAGTGAAAAATAGACTAAGGAAAAAGAGATTACTTGGAAGGAAAGCTCTGTGCTAATCAAGTAACTAAATCCAAATATACTGAGTGAGAAATCTTGGGGGAATTCTTAATTTCTATGTAATGTAAAGTTTTATATTTATAGGGATGGCAGCATGAACAGTATTTCAGAAGGAACCCTGCAGCTTGATGAGGATATACATAAGAAGCTCAGAGAACAAACCTGGAACCATTTTACTTCCTAGTATGTCTCTTGGCCTTAATTTGATAGTGGGATTACTTGACAGCAGAAAGTAAATATTAAATCTCACACTGACAGTCTTTCTCCAGTAAGTAGCACTCTAAAATTGCCAGATAGGAGGCTTTTAAGGTAGAGATGGCAATCTAAAGATTCTTAAAAGACAAAATGGGGAGTATGGAACTCTTTCTAGAGCAGATGACATAAGTAAAGGAAGCAATGCAAACATCTAGATTTGGGCCTGCCATTTTTCTCTCTTCTGCTTGTATATTGGAGCCCCATAGGTAATGGGAGGAAAGTCAGAATGACGGATGATTAGGCAGGATCAGAAACTGCACGTCAGTTGTTCAGAAGCATATTACTTCCTAACAGCAAGATAAAATAATAGTTCTCTGAGAGGTTATTAGAAAAAGATTTATGTCTGTAATAAAATACAATACTTCTACTTACCTTCATAATTCCACAGTTCACTGAAAGGCTTTCCTGGTTCTCCAAGAGGGGCTGAAGGATCGTTGAAAAATGGAGCAGTAACCTCCATCTTCACTCCCTTGTCACCTGGACTCAGCCTGACACATACTGGCTCATGCCTCACTGGAAAACCATCCCAAGTGGATTCAATTTTAAAATGCATCTAAGAAGAAAATTCAAACAAAATTGTTAAGAATATATAACAGTACTGTTTACTTAAAAATGAAATGAAAATTGAAACAGGAGACATCAAGGCAACAGAGTGACATGCACAAGATCCTAGGAGTCAAAAGGCCATCTGGGCTGTGGCAAATTATGGATTCTGAATTCTATCCCAAAATACATTTGGAGCCTAAAAGCTTCATAACTTTGTCTTGATGTAGTTCTGTTTCTATGTATGCTAAAATCATTGTAAATATTATGACTAAGTCCACTGCAGAAATTATAAATGTACTTAACTATACAAGTTTATGTATTTTCCATATTTAGCCAAGATTTAATTCTTTGTGTAAAAATAAATAAATATAACCATGTCATTAGTAGACAATCTGTTGGTAATGCGTGTATCAATCCATTATCAGATGTTTTTTTCTTAGCATTAATTAATTCTGCAAAATGATGGGTTTTATTATAATATTTCATACATTTATATACTATACAACTTTGATTACCTTTAATCCCGTTACTATACCATATTCTTCCTCTCTATGTTCCCCTTCTTCTAAGCCCTCCTTCTACTTTGATGTATTGTCTTTATTATTTTCTTTTTCTTTAATAATTTATATATTAACGCATATATAAAAATATACAGATACAGTATGCTGAGTGCATCTAGTGTTGTTTATATACTCATAAACATTTTTAGGGCTGACTACTTGGTATTGGATAACCAATTAGGGGATTCATCCCTAGGGAAAATTGACTCTTGCTTTCTCAGCAGACTTTAATTACCTGTACCTCTTCTAGGGTGAAAGCTTATGAGATTTCCCCCATTCACATTGGAATGTCAACTGGTGATGTAACTGTCCAGGTTTTCTTAAGGATGCCATCATTGAGATTTGGTTTATGAAGCTTCCCTCTCCTATACAGAAGACACAATCTCTCAGCAGATGTCCTGGTTCTCTGGCCCTTAACATTTCCCCATCCTCTCTTCCGTCATGTTCCCTGAAGCTTAGATATAGGCATTGTGCTATAGATACATCAACTAGGATTAGGGAGTTCATGGTCAGTTGTTCTCTACATCATGACCATTTCTGGCTTTACATAATGGTTTTAATCAGCTATAGTCAGAAGCTTCTTTTATAGAAATTATACCCCAAAGGAGAAGACAACAAGATCAAACTCAGGGCTGAAATCAATAAAAACAAACAAAAATACAAATAATTTGATTAAACAAAGAAATGGCATTTGACAAAATCATTAAGACTGACAAACTCTTATCAAAATTAACTACAAAGCAGAGGTAATATACAAATTAATAAAAATAAAATGAAAGGGGTACATATCAACAGACACTGAAGAAATCCAAAGAATCATTAGGGACATACTTTAAAAGCCTATAAATCAAGATCAGATAAACAATTTAAACAGATCTATAACACCTAGTGAAATAGAAGCAATCATTAAAAGTTTCACAACCAAAACAAAAAAGGGCCAGATGATTTTCATGCAGAATTCTACCACACCTCAAAGAAAAGTTGATGCCAATACTGAAATTATCCCACAAAACGAAAACAGAATGAACATTTAAGACAAAAAACTCAAGACACTAAAGAATGAAATTGAAGAAAATATCAAAAGAGGGCAAGATCTCACAGAGTAGTAGGATTAACATAGTAAAGATGGTCATCCTACCAAAAGCAATCTACAGATTCAGTGCAGTTACCATCCAAATTACAGCACAATTCTTCACATATCATGAAAGGGCAATTTTCAAGTTTATATAAACACACACACACACACACACACACACACACACACACACACACACCAGTATAGCTAAAACAACCTGAATAAAAAGAACTGTAGTATTACCATCCCTGATTTCAAGTTGTACTATAGAGCTAGAGTAATAAAAACAACAAAACAGTAATTGCACAAAAACAGACACATTAATCAATGGAATCAAACATAAGTCCACACACCTGTGAACACCTCATTTTTTATAAAGAAGCCAGAAATACACACTGGAAAATACAATGTCTTCAATAAATGGTGCTGGTCAAACCAGATACCTGCACGTAGAAGAATCCAAACTGATCCATATTTAATCACTGTGCATAAAACTCAAGTTTAGATAGATCAAAGACCTCAATATAAAACCAAATAAACTGAACTGGACAGACAAGAAAGCTGGGAATAGCCTTGAACTCAATAACAAAAGAAAAATCATTGTACTTTCTGAAAAGGACACCAGTGACACAGGCACTAAGACCATCAATTAATAAACAGAGCCAGGCATAGTGGTATATGCCTTTAATCCCAGCACTCAGGAGGCAGAGGCAGGCAGATCTCTGTGATTTTGAGGCCAGCCTGGTCTACAGAGTGAGCTCCAGGGCAGCCAGGGCTGCTACACAGAGATATTATGTCTCAAAAACCAGACAAACAAACAAACAAACAAACAAAAAACACCCAGACAACTAATAAATGAGTTCTTATAACAATGTCATTCTGACAAAGTGCCAGCCTATAGAATGGGAAACGAAATTTATAAGGAACTCAAGAAACTAGATATCAAGAAAACAAATAGCCCAATTTAAAAACGGGGTACAGGTCTAAACAGAGAATTTTCAAATGAGGAAACTCAAATGGCTGAAAAAACTCTAAAGAAATGTTGGACATCCTTAGTCATCAGGGAATGCAAATCAAAACTACTTTGAGAATTCATCTTTACACCCGTCAGAATAGCTAAGATTCAATAAAACAAGTGATAGCTCATGCTGGCAAGGATATGGAATAAAGGAAACACTCAGCCCTTGAGGGTGTAAATGCAAACCTTTACAGAAAATATAGAAACCAGTGAGGCAGTTCCTCAGGAAGATGAAAATCAACCTACCCCAAGATCCAGCTATATCACTTTTGGATATATACATAAAAGATGCTTCATCTTACCACAAAGGCACTTGCTCAACTATGTTCATGGCTCCTTTATACATAATGGCCAGAAACTGAAAACAACTTAGATGCCCCTCAAAAGAAGAACTGTTAAAGAAAATGTGGTACATTTATACAACGGAGCATTACTCAGCTGTTTAAAAAAAAAAAAAAAAAGTAAAACTCTATGCCCCCTCTCCTACCTTGTTCCCTCTCTTCAGCCACTACCTCTGTCTATTCTACTCTACAACTCTTCCAGTGAGATTTATGCATCCTACCTTGGATACTCCTTGTTATTCATCTTCTTTGGGTCTGTGCCTCATAGTGTGCTTATCCTGGACTATATGGCTAAAATCCCTTTATAAGTGAGTACATACAGTGTGGGTTTCCTCACTCAGGATGATCTTTTCCAGTTCCATCCATTTGCCTGCAAATTTCATGATTTCTTTGTTTTTAGTAGATGAGTAGTATTGCATTGTATACATGTGCCACGTTTTGCAGAGTTAAGAGGGTGTAGAACAGACCTGGGAAGAGTGAGGGCAAGAGGACAGAAGGCCTTCAGAGAAAAGAGAAACTGAGGGTGGGGATATCTCTAGGACAAGCTGGAGACCTGGGAGCAAATGAGGAAGATTCAAGCAGTGACTCCCAGTAGCAGAGGCCATAGAGACTGGAGGACACCTAATAACTAGACCAGTCTCCCAGCAGAGAGAGGGAACATCAACCCACCCACAAAAACTTCAATCCCAAATTTACCCTGCCTACTAGATGTGCAGGGATAAAGACAGAATAGATAAAGCAGAGATTGAGGGACTGCCCAACCAACTCCTGGCCCAACCTATGGGAGGGCCCTACCCTATGGAAGAGTGCCAACCCCTGACACTATAGACAATACTCTGCTAAGCCTGCAGATAGGGACCTGGCAGAGTTGTCTCCTGAGAGACTCTACCCAGCAGTACCTCAAGACAGATGTTGAGACTCACAGACAAACATTGAGTAATGCTTAGAAAGTCTTGTGGAAAAGGGAGAGAAAAAAGGACTGGGAGGTGACAGGAGCTCTACAAGAAGACCAACAGGGCCAACTAACCAGGGTCCAGAGGGTTTTCTGAGACTGAAGCATCAACCAAGGACCACGCATGAACTGGATCTAGGCCCCCTACAAAGATGTAGCAGAACGGCAGCTTAGGCTTAATGTAGGTACTCTAGTAAGGGAAGTGAGGATTTGCACTGGACATGGACTCTCTTGCCAGCTTTTTGATCACTTCTCCATGGTGGGACTGCCTTACCAGGCCACAGGGGAAGAGGACATGCTCAGTCCTAATGCAGCTTCATGAGCTGAGGTGGATGAGAAAGGGAACTCTCCTTTTCTGAGGAAGAGGGAAGGGGAGGAAAGGGAGAAAGGGAGGAGAAAAAAACGGAGGGTGGGACTGGGAGTGAGGTGGGAATGGGGCTACAACCATGGTATAAAGTGAATAAAAAATTAATTCTATATAAAAATGGAATCATAAAATTTGCAGAAAAATGGATGAAATTAGGGGGAAAAAAGTCATCTTGACTGAGGTATCTTAGACACAGAAAGACAAATATGCTATCTAGTCACTTACATGTAGACATTAGTTGTTAAGCCTATGGTAACCAAGCTACAAGAACAACAGAGATTAGGAGCAATCTCTATAAAGAACTGGGACTTGCAGCAGACAGGTGTCATTTAGAAAAGGAAGTATAATAGATGGTTATAAATGATGGGAGTTCTGGAACAGGAGGATCAAATGAGGTGGGGAAAGGAATAGAGAGACAAGGAAGGGAATTTGGAAACAGATTGCTAAAATTGAAAGAGAGCTAAAATTAAGGGTCATTTGGGGCTTAGTATAGTAACCTAATACAGTAGAAATTTCCTAAATTATATACATATATGAAGGCAATCTAAATAAAATCACCAAGTAATGGGAGAGACAAATTCCTAACCAGCCATCTCTTGTCACCAAGTGAAACTTCTAGTACTGGAAATAAGTTACATCTAAGTGAAAGGGGTCCCATGGGAATACCCACACAACCCAGGCTGTTGCTCTCCATAACCTGACAGTAAGGTTCTATTGCTGAAGACTACACCTGTACAACTCATTGAACATGTAAAAGTTGAACTAGTGCTTACATACAGCCTTCACCCCTGCGTTCATGCTACTTGGATTCAGGAAAGTACTCTGCATGCTACCGAAAGAGAAATGTAAACCCCAACCCAGCCACAAAGAACCTTTGATCTATAATGGTATCCTGCCTGCAAGATACACTAGGGAAGAATCTTTGATCTACAATGGTGTCCTGCCTGCAAGATACACTAGGGCAATGGTGGCACAAAGCTTCTGGGAATAACATATATGAGTTGGCTTAAGGCCCACTCCAGAGATGGAACCCATACTTGACGCTCCTTTGGCAGCCAAGAACCTGGTACCAGACAGGCCATGGACCTAGGAGAAACCAAATACTCCTGTTCTACAAAGAAATATAACAATATGATGATTCCTAACAAAATTCTGTATACCCATATATCAGGATCTCACTTAAACATCATTAAAGAAGTGTCCACCTACAGTAGATGGGAACAAAAACAGAGATTCACAACTGGATAATATTCAGAGAGTAAGAGACTTTGGAATATTCAGTCCAAAATGGGATGTTTCTGTCAAACCTTTCACCTCAGGGTTGAGACAACTTTATGGAAGATGAGGCAAAAAGATTATATGAGCCTCTGAGAGTGAAAGACAACATGGAAACAGGGACTTCAAGACATAACAGAGTCTGATGCATATACAAAAGCACAGAGAGTGGCAGCATGCACACCATCAGTACAAATTCAATCCGGATGATGTTCCAGCACTGAGATGGGGAAGTGGACATGCTCTCCCAACCCTAATCAAGAAGCTATTTCCAACTGACAACCATTAACAGAGGAAAAAATAGTTTCCTGCATTGGAATCTCAATGAGTATACAAAGCACTCTAAGGACAGGCCCAGTAGTAGAGTAGAAGGCCAACTAAAAATGAAAGAGTTTTTTGTCTCATAATGCTTTGTCTGGGTTATTTTTATTTATTTTTTTACCTTACTGATCTTCTGCTTCTATATCACGGTTTCCAATGTTGCGTTTTTGTGGGTTTTCTGTGTGCCTCTGCATTTATATGTGCTTCTTGTATTTCTTTTTTTTGTTTGTTGTTTTCCTTTTTCCTTGTTTGTTCTATTTTTTTTTAACATTTTGCCTGCATGTTTTCTAAAGAGAGAGAAACAGAGGCTGTGGAGTTGGATGGGTAGGAATGTGGGAAGGATCTGGGAGGAGATGGAGTTGGGGAACAATGATTATAAAATATTATATGGGAAAAATCTATTTTCAATTTAAAAAATTAAACTAAAATGTATAATCTGGCTTGTTAACAATCTAAGTAACTTAAGCTCATATACAACAATCCCCTCTCAACTCCCTTAGTCATTTCCTGAAACTTAATCCCTATCTTGTCTTTCAGTTTCTTTGCATATAGGCCAATGAAATAGAGACATCTTAATTGCCTTTGGCTTTCCTCAGCTGGAGTAACCCTCCCTGCCATTCTCTATGCTGCACTGTTCCACTTTGATTCACATAACTTATACTATTCTCCTAGCCTAAGCTAGAATGATTGAACTGGAAGCTATATGTCAAGTGAATTCTGTTCTGGTGTCTACAACTAAAATTCTGAGTATATGGCCCTAAGCAGAAGAAACCTACTGTGCCAGCAGTATCAATGTCTTGTTAAAAGCTATGTATTCATATAATGAGATGTCTAAATCACACTCTCTTCCCAAGGCTCAGGAAACATTAAGGAAGAATTGAGAAAAGATTGTGAGAGCCATAGGTCATGGAGAACAGAAGCAAAATAGTGTGTTCTGGACAAAACAGGACTGCTGTACTCAAGAATTCATCGTAGCTATGGCTGTGCACACAAGACTGTACAAGATCAAGGCAGTCAGCATTTCAGCACAAAGAAGAACGGGACTCAAATGCCCACAACCCTAGCTGAGGAGCAATTAAGAGTTGATGGCTTCTGGGTAAAGAAGAGTTAGTTTTCTTTAAGAGTGATGCCCCTGGTAAGTCGACTTAGATCCAAGGGATGGCCCCATATGCAGGAATATATTAATAGCACAAAGTGTATGCAGTGATTATTTGAAAACAAACAAACAAAAAAAGGACATGAAGCTGGGAGGGGTCAAAGAGTCAGGAATGGGTCTAGAAGAGTTAGGGGGAAGAGTATGACCAAAATCATTGTATGAATATATAAAATTCTGAAGAAATAAAAATATATACATATGCATGTAAATGTTATATATTACATTATAGATATGTATTACATATAATGTATATATATATAAATATATATGTAAATATAGTCTTTAATGCACATATTATATATGGAACTAGCTGCAAGTGTGGGTATAAAAGAGGATATAAGCTAATTGCTTTTCTAGTTTCAACTCTGTCATAGTTTTTTGTTTGCTTGTTTGTTTAATGGTGGAGAAGTGCATAGAAATGTAATTGATAGTGAAGGGGTAAAACCCTGAATGAAGATCCATGGCTTCGGGGTGGCCACACTTGAGGGTACTGAAGTCACCGCACTACCATGCAGAGCTTGGGAGTGTGTGACCATTTGTCTGAGAGGTTGCTTTAATTTAGCTGTGTGATAATTTTATTTGTGAGCTCATTACAATAAAAATAATAAATGAATAACTTGAAAATATTTTAGAGTCCAATTTAAGGCTAAATCTCTTACATAGCACTATGATGAAGCATTACAGAGTCAGAATTAATGTGACCACGGTGATCACTATCCTACTCCACAATTTTACTATCAGCTGTTTCGGCTTTCTTAAAACAATGTTAATCTGTGGTTTTCATTTTTAGCTTATCTTCTTCAACTTATACTTTAAAAAGAGTTAAGCCTTCAATTGTTTTAATTTCTATATAAGGAAATCAAGAGGGACAGACTCCAGTAGCATTCACTTGGGAGACAAAAAAATGTGTTAAAGAATGTTTTTTCAATTAAACCATTTTTAAGAAAAATTTCCAAGTTCCTTCATTTACAAGAAAAAAAAAGCCTTAACTTTTTCTACAATCTATACTTCTTTTTAGTTTAATTGCTGCACTGCACCACACATTAAGAGAAATGGAAGGAGGACAGTCAGAGGCATCTGTGTGAGCTGGAGGTAGTAGGAAGGTAACATGTTTCTGTAGCTTCGTTTGTTTTGTTTTTCCAGACAGGGTTTCTCTCTGTAATAGCCCTGGCTGTCCTGGAGCTCCCTCTGTAGACCAGGCTGGCCTTGAACTCACAGAGAAGGGCTTGCCTCCATCTGGGATGAAAGGCATGCATCCCCACCACCCAGTACGAGTTAAAGACAGACTTTAGAGGGAAGCTCAAAGGACAGACCTGTAGAACAGACCTGGAAGCTCCTCTTCGTTTGGCCCTGGCTGTGATCTTTTGGCCCGGGTCAGAGCAGAAGGCTCCTTCCTAGGTTCTGCCCAGCTAGTCCAGGTCCTACAGGGAGGAACTTGGGTTTCTGAAACAGACAAACCTGATTTTAGAGGAAAAATGTTGAGAGGACACACAAAAACACATCTGAAGGCTTTTAATCACACCATTGAAGTCTGGGCTTTCACTTCTGTCATTGTTTTAAGAGGGAAGGATAATTCAGCAGCACAAACATAAAACCATTTGAAGATGAACTGTAAATCAGAAATTATAATAAAATATGTTAAGTAACAATTTATTTATTGCAATTAAAGACTAACTACAAACATTAAACATATTAACTATAAACATTAAAACATTAGACATAATTTACATTACATGTTGGTTAAAGGTTGTGATACTGAAACCACACTTTCTGGGTTCACAACCTTGGTGTGATGAGCTAGCTTTGACCAACTGTATACCGTCTGCAGGTTTGTTTTGCAAAATACCAGGTGTTTAGTGTCAACAAATTAAAATTACTAGTGAAACCTATCATTAATTTTCAATGTATGAAATTTCAAGCGGTTTGTGTTTATTTTGATCATGATCATATAAAACAAAACACTTGAAGCACAAACATAAAAGTTCTATTTCACTATTTACTTTTGGGCAGAAAAATTATTTCTTTATAGAAGTCACACTTTGCCTTCTTCACACCAATATATCTTATTGTAAATATTAAATTTATAGCTACTTATTCAATGCCAACCTACATCACAATACAGGGTTCAAACGTAGGGAAGTCTCTTTGGGAAGAGTCATTGAGCACTTCATCAGAAAGCAGCCTACAATGAACTTAAAAAAGAAGTGGCACTTGCACAATAAGTGTAAGTTTTTATGTTAAGTTTACGGCCATTAAAAACCTGAGCAGGTTGAATCTTTTCCCTGAATCAAAGTTAATTTAAACCTTTGTATACTATTACCAACACATGTTTAACAGTGAGTCTTTTCAGAAGAAGCAGCTAACAGTTTGTGCTGTTTTATGAGTACAGGGTTACAAAACATCTTAAACAAAAGTCCAACAGAACTTCATCCAGGCACACCTGCCTTCTGTTTGTGTCCACATCCGGGAGGGTGTCTATACCTGTGTATGGACTGTGGTTGAAGTGGGTTGTTAGTGGGGTGTCATTCTCACACACTATTCACTTTTTTTGTTAACCTTAAGTTTATTTTCACCAGATATTTTCTCACAGAAAAAAAGAAATCCTATTAACATACCTGACCTTAGTGTTTTCAGTCTCACTGACTTTAGAAGTTTCCAATTTGTCTAGGCTGCTGGCCAGAAAGCACTCCTTTCCCCTCATCCTGTCTGTGCCCTCTCCAGGGCAGGTATTAAAGAGGCACACGGGGCCCTGCCTGGCTTTTTACGTGGGTGCTGGGGATCTCAAATCAGGCAAGCACTTCGTAATCAAGCTATCTCACGCCCAGGACATATCTAATGAAACCTTATTTCAAGGCATAAAAACATAAGCAATTAAAAAGGCTCTAAAACCAGTGATAAACTTCAAGTGAACATTTTTTTATCACTGATATTATTTCTCTAGTATGTTTGTGTATGTTTTAAGCTCTACTGCGCATACCGGCACAGCACACAGTTCTTAAAACTGAACGGTAATTTTTGCACCAATACAAAATTTACATATATATATATTTTTTTTCTTTTGCAAAATTTCATCTTCTCTTAGATTTGAAAAAACACCTCCGAAGCTGGATTTGCAGGCTGCCCTGAATCCTGACCAAGCGCCTTCTTGCAGCCACACAGTTAAATACTGGACAACAGCTCTCTCCTAGAGCAGACCCAGAAGCTCCAGCTGGGAAGCTGACCTGCGAGGACTCACCTCAGCCCGAGGACCCACAGCCCTCCCCGCACAGACGGACAAACTAAGACTTGGGGGGACGGCAACGGAAATGCGTCTCTAGCGCCTGCTCCCGTCACAGTTTTCTGTTTTCTTACCAAAAAAACCAATTGCGCCACACTACCTCGAGTACCCGACGCGCCACTGCGGAAGGCGCCAAGCAAGCGACTCAGCCCCGGGCACGGCCTCGGGGACCCGCCCCCCGCCTGACACGCAGCCAATCACCTGCCGGGTCCCGGGGCGGCGCGATGACGCAGGCGCCGACGCGCGCGTGCTGACGGCCGCGGCGTCACCGTCTCCAAGGAACGGTCCGGGGCACCGCTTTCAAAGTCGCAGGGCGGGCCGAGTGGACTCCGCGGCGGCCCGCGCTTCCCCGCGGTGCTGGCGTCCCCCCTGCCCCGCCGTGACGCCGCCGCCCAGTCGGGCGCGTCCCACGGTGTCCTTCCCGCGCGCCGCGCCGGGAGTCCGGCGCCCACCGGCCGCGCGCCGCCCCGCGGCCCTTTCCGCCCGCCCGGGTCCGGCCGAGCGGAGTCGGACGCGCGTCGCCTGGCTTCGGCGGAGCGGCGGGCCGGGCTGCGCCGCCGTGTGAGTGGGATGCTGATGCCTCCGCGCCGGGGCTCGGCTGCCCCAGCCGCCCCGTAGCTTTTCGTTTTCCCTCACAGCGGGAGGCTGCGTTTTTTGTTTGTCGGTTTACAAATATATATATATATATATATATATATATATATATATGTATAAGAATATATATATATATATATATATATATATATATATATATATCTTGTTTCCCCCCTGCGAGGAATCGGTAAACGTGATGAAAACTTCAGACTAAAATATCGAAATGGCCACAGAAATCGACTTTCTGAAAGACCAAAGTAAGCGCCCTATTTCCTGATGGAAAATCAGTCTGTAAGGTGCAGTGTCGATGTCGTTGACCTGTTAATGTGTTTCTGGATGTTGGTTGGGTCCCAGCGTGAAAATATGTAAAAACTTAAAAGAGAAGCCCGCTGCACAGAAATGCTTGGAGATGTTCATGGGATTATGTATGTACTTAAGCGAAGCAGAATCTCTGGTAAATACTTGTAGATTCCTTAAGCGCGTGTATGAGTTGGCTAGGCACGAAATAGGTTTGTTATGCTAATCTTGTGCTCCAAGAAACTGCAAGGCTGATGGCCAGGAAGAGTTTCCAAGTCTGCAGTTTAGGACCTGCAGGCACTGCTCTGGTCATTAGTTTAAAACATGTTTGTTGAGCTGTTTTATAACGTGCCAGATGGAGGTATTCTTGTTCTCTCAAGTAATTGGAGGAATAAATACACTGAAGCAGCAGCAAATGCTGACTCGTTTGCATCAGTTACCAAGTAGTTGATAGAATTATTTAGTGAACATAGAAATATAAAGGGGAATAGCATCTAACACATGGTGTTAAATAAATATTAACTATTATGCAGTTATTAAGGCCAGAAACTTGACATATCAATACGTGTTTATTGGTAACGATTTAGGGGTCCCTAATATTTGCATCACTGAAGGGATTGGAAGGATGCTTTGTTTAAAAACGACACGGTTGCCTTGAACAGTATAAAGAGGTTTATAGAGGAGTACAGTTTGTAAGCTACAGTCGTAATCATAGGTAAGAAGTGACCTAAGGAGAAAGTAGAGATTGAAGGCTGAGAGATCTTAAAAAAGAGGAAGAGAGATTTTTGTTTTTGTTTCTGTAAGTATATTGCCTAGCTCTTATTCTTACCAGGTTTAATCTTGGGCAAAATTCTTAGCTTCTCTGCCTCTGGTATTGATTTTATTGTTTTTCTCTTCTGAGTATAAGAACACAGTAACTATTGAGTTGTGGGACTTAATAGGGATGATACAAATGAAACCCTTAGCTCAGTAACAAGTACATATTAAATGTCCCTCCCCACGATGTATATACAGTATATACATACAGTTTATATATATGTATCTTAATCGTGACTCTACAGCAATAGCATTATTTTAGGAAAATAAGAAGTGGGAAAAACTCACTCTATAAAAATGAGTAACTGCCCACAATCTGAGCATGTGGGTCAAGAATTTCATGCATGAGTTAGGTTAGGAGAGGGATATACCTGAATTTTAGAAGATGAGTTTTAGAAGAATAAAACAATTCGTAGATAAATATTGAGCCCCAAATAATAGCAAACCCAAGTAAGACAATTTGTTTTTAATTGAAAACTGAATGGTGAACTGTAAAAGAGAAAGAGTAGAAGAAGAGATTCCCAAACAGAAACAGTAAAACCTCAAGGGCTTGATGGTGTGTGTTCAGGAAATGGGAAGATGGAATTGTAAGGTTTGTATGGAGAGATAAGAATGAGTTTTGGGAGTCTGTGACCTTTTCTGTTAACTAGATCTTGTATGCCAGTTAAAGATGGGATTTGTGCTTAATAGCCACACCACCTAACTACCTGCTGAGATAAATGACTGTTGTGCATCCTCCCATCTGTCTCTCATATTCTCTACATTTGGTTGATTGGTTGGTTGGTTGGTTTTTCGAGGCAGAGTTTCTCAGTGTAACAATCCTGGTGGTTCTGAAACTTTGTAGATGAGTCTGGCCTTGAGCTCTGCCTGGCCCTGCCTCCTGAGTGATGGGATTAAAGGTGTGTGCTACCCCACCCAACCTTGTACATTGACTTTTGTCAATCTTAATTGCTTCTCATTGGCTCCATTTGGTTTTGTTTGTTTGTTTTGTTTTGTTTTGAGAAGACCTGGCCTTAGATTCTCTGTGTAGCCCAAGTTGGCTTCAAACTCATAACATATAAAATACAACAATAAATCTTTAATTTTTTCAAAAATCCTTAAGAATGCCTTTATGTAGTCAGGGTACAGGAGGATTTCCTTAGTAGATTTGACTTTTATTAAAAGAAAATGATGTGTTAGTAAATTGCATGTCTCTGGCATTTACAGAAGCAGCTGGCTAATGCATTTGCATATTTATGTTTGTTTATAGCGTATACATAAAAAACAAAAAAATAAGATAGGTGCATCATTGCAAAGTGAAAAACTCTTGTAATAAAATTCAGGTTGAGAAATGGGAATGGAACCTCAAAACAATTATAGCCCCTCTTTCTCAAAGATAGTGAAAGGTAACTGCTGACTTTAATTTTATGCCTTAATTTAGTTTTTTTTCCTGTTTTAGTTTTAAAAAGATCATGAACTATGTATTCTTCTGTGCCTCATCATTCATGTATTTTAAAATTTATCTTTATCATTGCATATAGATCACCAGTTCTCTGAGCTTGTTTGTGAAGGCCAGGGGATACCTCCTCAGATGTTGCCCTCTGGCTTTGGCCATTGTTCTCTTTCTTTCTTTTTTTTTTTCTTTGCTTGCCTTCCCTCCTTCCCTCCTTCCCCCCTTCCCTCCTTCCCTCCTTCCTTCCTTTTTTTAAGATTTATTGATTTATTATTTATGCAGTATTCTGCCTGCATGTGTGCCTGTAGGCCAGAAGAGGGCACTAGATCACATTATGAGCCACCATGTGGTTGCTAGGAATTAAACTCAGGACCTTTGGAAGAATAGTCAGTGCTTTTAACCTCTGAACCATCTCTCCAGCCCTTTCTTTTTCTTTTTTGAGACATTCTCTGACTGGACTAAAACTTGCCAAAAAGCCTAGGCTGATTGGCTAGGAAGCCCCAGGGACCCTACCTGTCTACACCTCCCCAACACTGAAATTACAAGACTGCTTCACAAAAGCCTGCTTTTTAACTATCGACTCTGGGAATGGAACTCCAGTCCTTGAGCCTGAAAAGCAAATTCTTTGCCAACTGACATCTCCCCAGCCAACCTCTATTTTCACCAGTCTTGAATTTTAATTTGTAATCATTTAAATCATTTAAATTTATATTTTCCCTACTGAGCTTGAACTCCTTTTCTGTTAATCTCTTTGGAAAATTTTTTGTATACTAAACCAATTTTTTTTTTCTATTTCTCAACTAATTAGAAGTTCTTCGTTCTAGTGCGCTATCTTTGACAATTATAGTTCTTGGAAATGTCCCTGTTTATGGTTTGTGGTTTTACTTTCTTAATGGTTTTGTTTGGTTGATTGGTTGGGTTTGTTTGTTTGTTTGTTTTGGTTTTAGATGAGCATAAGTTCCTAATTATAATGTAGTTCATTTTCTTGGTATTCTTTAAATGTTGTTTTAATTATTTTCATATTTGCCGTGATACAACACCATGACAAAAGCAACTTAAAGAAAAAATGGTATATGGGGGTTTATCGTTTCAGGTTAAATCCATCATGGCAGTAGGTTGACAGACAGGCATGGTGCTGGAGTAGCAGCTGAAAATTCGTATCTTGATCCATAAACATGAGACACAGAGAGAGCTATCTGAGATTGACTCTGGCTTTTGAAACCTCAGAGCGCACCCCAGTGGCACACCTCCTCCAAAAAGGCTGCACCTTCTAATCCTTCGCAAACAGTGGGGTCCATTCTCATTCAAACCACCACAATTTTTTTTTTTCTTTTTGTGCTTTAATTTAAAAAGTCTTATTCTATTTAAGGTTATAGAAGTATTTCTTGGCTCTTTATACAAATTTATTACTTTATATTTACATCTGCAGTTCACTTGGGATTGATTTTTTGTGAATGAATATTAAATTATTTTCCATCAATTGTCTGTTTGACCAGATCCACAAACAAAAAGATTACCCTTTCTCCATCTACCCCTGCCCCAGTTCTAGAGTACTCCTCTGATTATAGCTCATTAACATGTAAGCATTTATCATTATATTTCTAAATTCTAAATACCATTTATTGGCAAGTTTTGTCTAGTATTTGATATAGTTTGACTTTCTTTTAAAAATTTATTTATGTATTTTATATATATAAGTGCTCTCTCTTCATGAGAGACAAAGGGGGAATCAGATCCCATTACAGATGGTTGTGAGCCATCATGTGATTGCTGGAAATCAGGGTTTCTAAAAGCGCAGCCAGTGCTCTTAACCACTGAGCCATCTGTCCAGCCCCAATTTGCCTTTTTGTACTTACGCAGTCTTTAATGAAAGTTATATATGAGAGGCTTCTACTCCTATATCTTCTTGATTGTTTCTTCCTTGTATTTGCCCTTCTTCTTTCCTACTTGTCGAGACGTATCTTTCCTTTCCAGGATCTTCTTGAGGTCTTTGTGCAGCTTTAGCCTGGT